GACATACTAACATGTCATTCTTAATTGTCTTACAAAATAAGGTTGTGTCCACTTTCCCTCTGGTGAATTCCTTTTCTAACAAGAAGTTACTTAGTCTTTCATACCAAGCTCTGGGAGCTTGTTTTAGACCATAAAGTGACTTATTTAGTTTGAAAACATATTCTGGATATTTGGAATTCTCAAACCCAGGGGGTTGGTGCACATATACCTCTTCATCTATATAGCCATTTAAGAATGCACTTTTGACATCCATCTGATATAGAGTGATGCCTTTATTTACAGCAAATGATATTAAAAGTCTGATAGATTCTAACCTGGTGACTGGAGAAAAGGTTTCTGTATAGTCTATCCCCTCTTGTTGACTATAACCTTTTGCTACCAGTCATGCTTTGTTTCTGATGACTTCTCCTTGCTCGTTCAGTTTGTTTCTGAACACCCACTTTGTTCCAATGACGTTAAATCCTTTTGGTTTGGGAACCAGATCCCATACGTCAGTTCTGGTGAATTGATTCAGTTCCTCTTGCATTGCCAGAATCCAGTCATTGTCCAGAAGTGCTTCATCAATAGTTGTTGGTTCAATCAGAGAGACAGTCCCATGAGGGATTCTTCAGAGTTTCTGAATGTTGATCTGGTTCTGATTGGATCATCTTTCTTTCCCAGTATTGTATCTTCTGGGTGATCAATGCTGCTTCTGGATAGCCTTTTCTAAAGTTGATCAACAGAATGTGCTAGATTGCTTGCATTAACTCTTTCTGATGTTGAGGGAGCATCTCTGTTGAGACCTTCTGATGAGTTGTCTTCAGTCCCTATGAGTTTAACTTCCATACCTGCAAGGAATTCATTCTGCTTTGACTTTTGAGAGTCAAGCTTATCATCAAACCTAACGCTGATTGACTCTTCAACAATCTGTGTTTCTGTATTGTATACTATGTACCCTCTTGAGCGCTCAGAGTATCCTATTGTTCCAGAGCCAATGATTTTTCCTCTCTGATTGCCTCCAAAGCCCACGTAGCCTCCAGGCTTAAGTTCCAGGCTTTGGAACATATGCCTTCTTCCCATTATGTGTCGCGAGCATCCAGAGTCCAGGTACCATGATTGGTGTCTTAGCCTTGCTGCTAAAGATATCTACTACATGTATAATTTTATCCTTAGGTACCCACATTTTCTTTGATCCTGATTTGTTAGTTTTACCAAAATTCTGATTGAATTTTGGTTTGACAGAATAATTACTACTTGTGTATTTTATGTCATGTGTGTGCCCATATATAAAATGTGAATTGAGTGGTGTGTGTTTTATAACTAAGTCCATGACATTTTTTGGTGTAGATACCTTACCTTGATATCCTATCCCTTTTCTGCCATTTTTGCTAACTCCATAGATCATTAAAGCCATCTTGCTTCTGTCTATGTTTTTAGCTAGAAACTTCTGAAAGTTGTGATCATACTCTTTGATGATCTCATCAGCATTACTGGGAGTCTCTAAGATTGTTTCCTTCTGAGAATTTTGCAAATCATTTTCTAATTTTGAAATTTTTTCTTTCAACTCAGAATTCTCTAATCTGAGACTCTCAAACTTTTCAGAGTCAGAGGCAAGATTCCTTTTCAGGTTCTTGAATTTGACTCTAATATGCTGATACCTTTCTAGAATTTCATTTAGACTTTCAGCAAGTTCAGCCTTAGTAAAGTTTATGGTAAAATCAGGAAATATCTCTTCACTGTCTGATTCTGAGTCTGAACCAGAAGCTTCACTGTCTTCTGATACGTTTGCCATGAGAGCTATGTTTGCTCTTTCATCATCTGATTCTGAGTCAGCTTCAGAGGTGTCAGAATCATCCCATGTAGCCATGAGGCTTTTCTTCTTTTCCTGGAAGAACTTCTTTTTGGACTTCTCCTTCTGAAGCCTTGGGAAGTCACTTTTGTAGTGCCCTTGCTCGTTACACTCATAGCAGATGATGTCCTTGTTATTTGGCTTTCTGTATCCTGAAGAACCTTCAGATCTTCTGTGTCCAGACTAAGACTCAGACTTTCTGTATCTGGAGGAAGATTCATTCTGATTCTCTGATCTTCTAGGAGTTCTGAATTTACTTTATCTCTGCTTCCACAGTTGGTTCACCCTTCTGGAGAGGAGAGACAATTCATCTTCTTCTGATGAGGATCCATCAGAAGTTTCTTCCACAGCCTGCAAAACCTTAGAGTCAGATTTTCTGTTAGATTTTAAAGCTAGTGGCTTACCTTACTTTTGAGGCTCATCTTCTTCTAGCTCTATCTCGTGACTTCTGAGGGAGCTGACAAGTTCCTCCAGAGATATTTTGTTGAGATCTTTTGCTAGATTAAGTGTTGTGACCATTGGCCTCCATTGCTTGGGAAAGCTTCTGATGATCTTCTTAACGTGATCAGCAGTAGAATACCCTTTGTCAAGAACCTTCAGTCCAGCAACATGGATTTGGAATCTTGAAAACATAGTTTCTATTGATCACTATCTTCCATCTTGAATGCCTCATACTTCTGAATGAGCACAAGGGCCTTGGTTTCTTTGACTTTAATGTTGCCTTCATGCGTCATTCTCAGAGAGTCAAACATGTTCTTGGCAGTCTCTTTGTTTGATATTTTCTCATATTCTGAGTATGAGATGGCGCTGAGGAGTATTGTTCTGGCCTTGTGGTGGTTTCTGAACTCACGCTTTTGCTGATCAGACATCATTTTTCTGTCTATCCTCTGACCACGTCCATCCACTGGGTGTGTGTATCCATCAGTCACCATGTCCCACAGATCAGCATCATGGGCTAGAAAGAAACTCTCAATTCTGTCTTTCCAGTAGTCAAAGTTTTCTCCATCAAAGACTGGAGATTTGCCACTGAATTTGTCCTTGTCTTCATGGTAGTCATTGCTGATGTTTTGGCTTGGTCCCACCATAGTGTTTTTCTGAAGTTTGGATCTTGTACTGACATGGTTAAGTGTTTAAGCTCAGAACCAGGCGCTCTGATACCAATTGAAGACGTGAAAAACACAAGAAGGGGGGGTTGAATTGAAAACTTGAAATTAAAAGCTCAAACTACTCCAGTCCATCTGTCAAGGTGATTTCGCCTCTCTCCAACGAGGTCTTAATCCACTAATCTCAAAAGGATTACAATCACTACTTTAACAACTGTTAAAGTCTTCTTGAGTACAACCACAATCCGGTTAATCTCAAGGAACACTGTTTCAAAACTATTATACAAGATGTGTGTTGTTGTTTTTCTTACAAAAACTGTTTATCACAACTGTGATAATTTACACAAGATTATAGCTTGGAAATGTAAAGAATATTGCTTGCAGCTTTGAATATGCGTAAGTGGTTTCGTAGCAAATCGTCTGCGATTTTGAATACTGACTTTGTTTATATAGGCAGTGGAATAACGTTGATCATCAAGCATGTTTAATGTCATTAACACGCTTTCTATTTGGAGAAGATCCTGTCTAAAAGAAGCCGTTGGAAATGATGTTGTCTTGAATGATCAGTAACGCTTCAGAATCTAATCTCCTTGCCTGCTGATGACGCTTCAGAACATTGAAGACTTGGATTAACATGTTCTTGTTCAGAATCAGAGTTTGCTTTACTTTAGCGCAGGTTCTGGTCATCAATCTTCAGCGCATGTTCTGATTGCTTCAGCGTGTAGCTCTTATGCTTATCTTCTGATGCTGTTATGGTCAGAACTTCTGCATACACACAACATAATTTTTAGGGTGCATATTTGTTCTTTGTATTTGTCATTAGTTCATTGTATTTGTTATCATCAAAACTCTAACTAAGGGTTGTAGAATCAAACTATGTTCTAACATTATTCACTTAGTATAATATTAATATTTCTATTAGTCTAAATACCCCATTTAATAAATGTAAATGTACACATCAAATTTTTCTTCGAGTAAAAACAAGTTACACTCACCTACATTTCCATCGTATATCTTTCTTAAATTAAATATACCACATAATACTAATATAATTCAATTACATTAAATTTATAAATATTATCATAGTTTAATTCAAATATTAGACTATTCCCGATGAATGCAATTTTTGTTTCTTTCAAAAAGAAGTACTAGTACTTTGGAATAGCGGTAAGGTAACAATCTAAGTCATCATTTACCAAAAGATAAACATGAGAGAAATAATATATTCTACTCCACCACAATCAACATTGACCAATTTTTCTATTCCAAAAAGGCATTTACTAGGCCATCGTTAAACTCTTGCCCTATTAAGGATAAGGGCTTTGCTGCCCAAACCATTATGGCAACAGCCATTAACCAACCAACCCCCATTTCCCTCTCCAACTTAAAATTTAAGTCATTCCCATTCACACAAGCCCCATATTAAAGTCAAACCTCATATCTAAAAATCTAACAAGTTCTTCACGTTACACAAATAAATCAACACCCATATTTTGTCCCTTTGTAGCAGAATCATCATATGCCACCACGTGTTTCTCGATCCTCTCATTTCTCTCAAAAATAAAAATAAAAATCTTAAAATTCACCATCATACCATTATTTTGAATTATTATATATTTTAGGAGAGCCTTGGAAGTGTTTTTTTTTAAAGAAGAGTCTTGAAAGTGTTAATAAACACTATTATATCAATAAAAAAAATATAAAACAACTTTCTTATCAATTAAATATTTTTATGTAAAACTCGATCACTCATAATTGAATTTTAACAATCTATAATTGATATCACTATTAGAGAATTTAAAAAGCACTAAAAATAGCGATGAATTATATATTCATAATTGATGAGATTTTAACATGCCATATTTTATATAGTAAATATTTTGTGAATTTATGTTAGGCCTAAGTCTTAAAGCATAAAAGCCAAATAAATATCATGAACCCTTGTACACAAGCCACAAACACAACAAGTACAATACAGTTCCATAAACAAGTAATCATCAAAACCCTCTCTCTTCTCTCCAATCTCCTCCACCCTACCCACATCTTTCAAATCTCACAAAATCATCATCATGTTGGAACAATCATTATCATCCTCACCAACATTCTGGGCTAGTGTCTACAGCTGGTTCACTCCCACTGTCTTCTTCCTCCTCCTCCAGCTAGTTATTGCCACTATTTACATCACTTCCACTCTTGCAAATGCCACCCACAAACACCACCACCAAGATCCTAACTTTCCACAACAGCAACAACTCTTTAGATCCCCTTCTGTTTTACAAAGGCTCAAATCCATCAACCTTTACTCTTACCAAAACTATAGATCCCAACATGAAGAACATCATACCCCACAACCTCAAACAACCTACGAAAACGAAATCCATGTCCCTCAAGGACAACTCGCTAGATCTCCCTCTGTTTTGCAGAGACTCAAATCCATCAACCTTTATTCTTACTTCCCTTCGAAACTCGAAAGCACCAACGTTGTCACTCACGACAAACATCATCACGTGGAAGTTAAGGAGACAGAAGAAGATGTTTTGGGAGATATAAAAGACAACCTAGGAGGACTCGAAGAAGATGGTCATGTTTCTTTGGAGGAGGTTTTCATGAAATTGCAGGGGCAAGGAGGTAATTTCGCAAGGACGCATTCAGACACGAAGCCGGATTCAGGGGAGGTTCCGGTGAAGCTGTCGAGGAAGATGAAAAAATCCGCTAGCAGTAAATCGCCATTTTCTCATTTCAAGGAAGATGACATTGTGGAGAGCCGCCGGCCGGCCACCGTGAAAGAGGCTAAAGCTGTCACCATGGATGAGGACGAGTTGGTTGATTCTAAGGCGGATGATTTCATCAACAAGTTCAAACAACAGTTGAAGTTGCAGAGGATTGATTCAATTATGAGGTATAAGGATATGGTTAACAAAGGGATTAGCAAGTAAAAATTAACATAATAATCATGTTTATCATAATTTCATCACTATTATTATTATTTCTTAATTTAGCCTTGTAATGTAAAATTAGTAATTTTTGCCTCCTATGTGTTAGTTCAGTTATATGATTGCGAGGAGATGATTTCATAATAGAGTAAAAAAGTTTGTGAGTTTGTTATTTATTTAAAAAAAAATGTTTTTATAAGTGGAATTGTGAGTGTGTTGAGTTAATTTGATTCTTTTGTTTGTGGATGATGGAAGTAGTTATGAGAAATTATTGTTTGTATTTCTATAAATAACATAATATATGCTTTTTCTTGTTTGTATTTGATAAGGAGAGTTATTATTGTGATAGAGTATAATAATTTGAAATATAAGGTATATAGGAAGCTATATGATAATTTGGAAAATAAGCTATATGTGTGGCTATATTGAGTAAAGTTTAGAAAATTGACATGTTTGAAAATTGTGGCATGGCAACAAATTAGACAAACTTGTTGTGAAGTGTGAACTTGGTAGATGTGTTCGGGTCAACTAGATTTTGGTGAAATTTGAATTGAATTGAATTAGTAATATTTAATATTATTTGGATATCTTTGAAATTTGAAGTGAGTTTATATATGGTTTGTTAGGAAGTTTTATGTAAAATAACTCAAATATTACTTAGTATGACTTGTATAAGTATAACTAAATTGAATTTGATAGTTGTAAAATTTGAAGTGTGTGAAAGAAAAGATAAAAGTAAAAAGTTGAAGTTTTATGTAAGCGAGGAGTTGAAAAGTGGAGGGAACCCAAGTTGGGTAAGTGCGAGTACAGTTGTTGGATTGCAGAGTGAAATCAAAGAAAGGAAGCAACTAGTATTATAAAATCCATTATTGGCATTAATGAAGGGTTTGTTTGGTTGAGTTGTTATGTGGAGTGGACGGTGAAAACGTGGTTATTCCTATATTTAAGGGTAATTGTTAATGTTTTCCACATGCTATATAATCCACATAAGACGCAGTACCTTTGTCATCTTGTTTTTATAATATCCTTTTTCTGAGATGCCACTCATGTCACGTTAGATTTGCGTAATTTCTTCGCGTGGAAGTTGAATAGTCAAAACAGGAATTATCTTCATTGTTTTATTTTATGTTTAATTTAAAATCAAAATATATTTAATATAAATAAATATAATTATTTTACAAAATTTTCTTGGATCTTATTGATAAAAATAGCGATTGGTTGATAAACTAGCTTATAATTTATAATTTATTGTTGATGGTTGTTGACCGATAGCTTATAATTTATAATTATTGACTCCTGACTGATAGTTTATAAGTTAATTGAAATATTTGATAAAATTAACGATTCAATTAACATATAAATGTAAAATGACATAAAAGATATTTAATACATAATTATTTCATTTTAAATTAAAATAAATTATAAAAGATAAAAGTGTATTTTTGTTAAAATAATAAGAATAAAAAAGAAAAAAAATCTATAAACTATTAGTTATAAGCTAAAACACTATTTGCAATAATGTTTTGAAAATAAGTTATAAATTAACAAAATAAATTATAAGTTTGCGATAAAAAAACCGTTACTAAACGGATCTAATCGTCATATAAGTTTATAATAAACTATAGACTATAAACTCAAAAATATATCTTACCAAATACAACCTAAGTTTATACTAAATAATTCATTTTGATTATTTAATAGAAGATTCAAAAGATCTATGAATAATAACGATATCTCTTAAATTTATATCAGTCCAACTAGTCCAACTAGATATATGAGATAAGAGAGGAATGAGATCTTTATATATGGATGTGAGTGTTTCTGGTGTAGTAGGATAAAGTGAATCTTAAAGGTTAACATAGTCAAATATATGAAAAGCATATTGAGTGTAAGAATTGAATTGATACTTGAAACTAATGTGTGTGAAACTTATTTATAGTGATCGATTAATACCATTTTCGTTTAATTTGACGCATTTATGAGACGAACTTTACGTGTAGTTCTAAGTTACACACTGATGATGACCCTCTTTTTAAGATACTTAAGTGTTTGAACAAATTAAGGCGAGAACATGATTGTTGGTGGCACAATTTACTTTTATACGCCATTTAACATTGATCTTGTGACAATTGTACCAAACGATACATAAGGAGTTCAATGATAGTTTTTTCCCTTTTTGCCACTCTCGAGACCTAAAAAATTCCTCTACTTTTCTATAATTTCTTCTAGTTTTCACAAACAATTCTCAACAATTATTGCTCTAACATCTTTGCGGTGTCTCTCCAGCAACCCCTTATTCGTGTGACCTACCATGACCACTTCTTTTGAGTTAACAATCAAAGTTTCATTCTTTTTGTACTTGTTTTCCCTTTGATAAGTTTTTTCTTGGAAAGATCGTTACAGATGATTTGAAGGAAGAAGTTGTGGTTAAGAATGGAATGGTGGCTAGTAGCCTCAATCTAAGGGAGGTTGTTAGGGGTTTCATTTTTTCTGCTTAACCTCAATGAATCCAACTAATATAGATGACTTTAAGTAGGAACACAAGGACCAAACTTATATTAGAACACATCTTCATGTTTGTGGTTGTGACGCCACAAACAGTGAAGCAATATGGTTGTTTGATCTCTGTGGTGCAACTTCACCGTTAGATATTTTGTATGATGTCAAATTAGAAAAACTTAGCATTTTTGTATATTGGACGATATCTTTGTGTAGTTTTATGTACCCTTACATTAGATGTCTTAGAAAGCATTCAAAACAAGTTTAAAATTGATCCAAATTATGAAAAATCAGTTTCTGCATAAAAAAAAGAGCATTTTTGCTTTAAAACTGCAGTACATGAGCCGACCTGAAAAGCCTATGTGTCGGCCTAAAAATCCAATGCGTCGGCCTGAAAATCCTATGAGCCAACACATGTATTGCATTATTAAAGTCTATATCTAGTGTTTTGTATGTGCCGACTCATGATTTTTTCAGGACGACTCATACTGTTTTATGGATCATTTTGCATTTTTTTCATTCCAAAACATTCCTCTTTTGCCTAAAAAGTTCCCAACTATAAATATATCATTCATACATCATTCAATCTCAATGATACCATAAAATTTTCTTACAATTTCTCTTCACCTTCAACCTCCAACCTATGCATACACACAAACATTCCATAGTGACGATCTTTTATTGGGGTTCCATCTAGACGAGGTTTGATAACGTCCAATTAGGTTCTTGTGTAGCCGAGAATATTGGGTTGAGATTTGCAGGGGTCTTCATCCGGAAAATCAACGGGTTTGTCCTCCAAGATCATTGATTTATTTGGGGGTTTTCATGCAAGACATTCAAGAGAGGATTGTGGCCTAGTGAAAGTCCTTTGGAGATAAAGAATGCAAATGATCCTTTGGAGATAAAGAACGGAATGGAAGTAGCACAAGAACAGAGAATGAAATTGAATTCTTGTGTTGCAATAGGTGCAATTGATGGTGCGCAAAAGCTTTAGAGATAAAGAATGCAAAGGAGTAGCAAGATTTAGATAATCAATTGGCAGCTATTGTGCGCTTGATCTTATTGAAGATCAAAAGAAGAGAAGGGGTTGAATCAACATTAAACGGTTATGGTTGGTAGAGTTGCTCTTGAACACTTATCTTGTAATCATACTTTTTGCAAAGTAAGAAAGTATCCTAATTCCACATTGGAATTAGGCGCAGTCGTACCCACATGCGAGGACGAAAATGGGGAACTGTGTAAACAAATATTTGTGTCTCTTTTATTTTATTGCTTTACTTGCTTTAATTTTCATACATAAATTTGTCAAATAGCATTTATTAATCTATCGACACGTAGGAATTTTCCGAGACTATTTTTGCTTTGAATTGTGTGGTGAGTTGCTTATAATCACTTTTGATTATAAGTGCTTTTTCATATCAACACAATACAAAGGAAATTTATGAAACTTTGATTTCACACCAAGTGTTTGACAAATTTTTTAGCTTGTTCAACTCAAAGGAAAATTATAATGTTCTATCTCTTACTCTCATTTACTCTCTATGTATGCAACTTGTTGAATGTGTTGTTTGATCAACTCGTATAAAATTTATCTTTTATTGTTAAATTTTAAATTACTTTGTTGATTAGCTTATAATAAATTTGTTTGTAAGTGCTTTTTCGTATCAATAAATCTCAAAGAAAATTTTGAAAAATTGATTGCCCACCACATGTTCGGTAAATTGTCAAGTTATGTTTTTAATATAATTTCATTAGAAATATGAAATAATTGTGTTTGATATTAAACTATTAATTGAGATATTATTATATTGATTGATTTTATCATTATCTTAATTATATATGGCTTGTGAATAACCGAGTTTCCAATAACTAGGTTTATTTAGACAACTATTTTGATCTAGGCCAAAAACCTTCCGCTCAACATTCATTTTCAAATAAGTTTTAAGTAACCATTTTGAAAGGTAATTTTTAATTAGAGATCTATTCACCCCTCTCTAGATAAGTCTTTGTAGTCTAAAAATCTCAATATTGTACTTATACTTACAACCATTCTTTTTTGTATGTTGACAATAATCTTGTAGTGGACCATCACGCTCGTCAAGAAACTTAGAATGTGTTGGAGAAAAATTTGGCGAGGGTGGTTTGGATCATGCTTTCACCAAGGTGGGTTTCCCACAGATTGAGGAGTGTTTCCTCCTGTGATACGGTGGGAGAACTGACTTGAGGTTTTACGTTTGTGTTCGCAATTATTTCGGTTTAGCAAGAGTCGCCACCGGCTTTTTATTTTATCCAAAGGAAAGGTCAAAAAGCACAGGAAAGACCTTCGAGATGTTATCGAAGGGTCATTTTCTAGAGTGTCGCATATTCGAGGGACATGATTGTGTTTCCGAGGCAACAAGCAAGGTTACCCTAGAGGTGCACGTGTGAGAAGTGTATTGATTTCAAGTTATTTCTTCTTGGATTAGGTCATCTAGCGATTGATTTTGAATCTTGCCATACACGCCTAATTACTACACAGTATATAGAAAGCAATAAATTACGGAAATTGAAAGTCTAAGCTATTACAAAAGTATCTGGGGATGGGGGTACAATTATTACAAATGGGGATGAGTCTCACAAGAATAACAATGTCCAAATATCAAGTATTACAACCAAATCGAATTGTCGCAATTCAATACAAAGTTATAACAAATTATGAAATAAAGAAAATCAATAAATTATGAAATGCATGTATTTACTAAAAAGAGATAAATAAACTCTATTCTAAAAGATTAAAAATTATTATTATTCTTTTTTGTATTTTTATTAATTTTAAAAGGAAAAAAGTTTTAAAGAAAGAAAATTTAATTAAACGAAATCTCTATTATTTTGGTATTTTTATTAATCAATAAAAAAGGGTTTAAAGAAAACAAAATTAATTAAATCAATTTAAATGCTTTTTTTTTTGTATTTTATCAAATGAAACAAGATTAATTAATAAAAGAAGAAAATAAAACTAATTTAAGAAAACCAAAGTAATTTGCCA